GCCACTCGGACCATTACTGAGTTTGGCAAGTGGGAGTCACTAAGGAAAGCTCCCTGCTGGCAAATTCCAGAAGTCCAGGTGGTCCCTTCCTTTCGCTTTTTAGCCTAAAAGAAAACACGCATTTCAGAGGGAAAAAAAAAAAAGCCAACACTTCTACTGGACATTTTGCCTAGGTGTTTGGTGGAAATAAAAATGACAATCAACTGAGCTGCTGTAACAGCCACAGCCTGTTTCAAATTTACCTGATGACAGGTCATACAGTGCGGTGACAGAAGTTATGAACTGGCAGCAGAAGCGAGGGCTGGCACTGAGTATCTGCTTCAGCGTCTGCACGGATCCCGGCACCAGACAGCAGTAGTCATCCACGAGGGCCCTGGCTAACCTCACACAGTAGACCACAGGCGTCCGCTGGAAAGAAGCCACAGTCCACATAACTACAAGTGTCGTGAGCTAGTAGACAACTATATGTACATGTGGTGGAGACCACCACACCTGGGAAAATCACTTTCCAAGAGGGGGGCAAAAAGATGTTCAGAGCTTACTTGACATGGAGCTCAGCCAACCTAAGCCCACAGACCAAATCCATCCTGACACCTGTTGCTGTAAATAAACTTCTGCTGAAACATGGATCTGCTCATCTGTTTGCTATTGTGTAAGGCTGCTCCTACACTACAAAGGCAGAGCTGACTGGTTTTGACACAGACCATATGATACACAGAGCCTAAAATATTTACTGTCTTACCCTTTCCATAAAAGGCCTGCTGACTCTTGCTCTAAAGATCGCTTCTAACTTCAGGTGAGGAAATGATAACTTTTGTGACCCTATAGGTGAGACTCCAAAGGTAGAAATCAACAGTTGCTACCACTTTAAAGAGCTTGCTGAGTGTTTGTGAGTGCTCATGTGATTCTAGAGCAATGCTTCCTCACTTTCTCTCTCTTATGATCCTCCTTTACAGATTTCCGTAATATTTTCAAATCCTACCTTACCACCCTCCCCTGCCTTTTTCCTTCCCACTCAGGGGCCAATCTGTAGCTACTGCCACATTCAACAGCTGCTCAGGATGCTCCAGTTCCAGGGTCCCAGGGTGGCCTACTGGGGAGAAGCTGCAAGGAGACAGCAGGCCAGATTGTTCCCTCAGGCTCAGATCTGCTCTCACAACCACAAACCACCATCCCCCGCCTTCCCTAGCAGGAAGCTGCAGCCTCTTGCCTCGATGGGGCAAATCCTGATTCAAACCACTATGACCCTTTCTTGTCACTGACATCTGCTTTTTGCCAAAAAGCCAGCACAACAGCATCAGGAGAGAGAAATGGGAAATCATGGGATGAATTACAAGATGCTAAGCCTGACTATACTAGGTGATCAGCGGATAGAGGTAATTGTGACATTAAATACAGCACACATTATCAATTCAGATGCCCCTGAGATCGGACTGGTGAGAATTAAGGTACAGATTCCACCAAGACTTACCTGTGTGCCACAAAGGACAACGTATCTTTTTAGCCACGTTGTGAGAATAAAGTTTTCAAGGAAAACGTCTACATTAATTGGGAAACAAAACCCAACACTAAATAACTTCAAGTACTTGAGAATGAAGCAGGTTTGTGAAAATGGATATGGCAAATTCTGTCAGCTTAATTGAGAATCATGTTAATTCGAATTCTGAGTTAATCACTACTCCAAGTGAATTACCAATTTTTGAAAAGACTGCGAGTAATAAAAAAAGCAAAACAAAATCTTTTCAAATACCCTCTAACACAAAATCTTCTGATATTCTTTGATATTTAAAAACACACTAGAAGGCTCTGACATCCATAACCATTAGAAGAGCCATGATCTTTGTAATGTCACCCCGGGACAATGCAAAACAATTCACATGCTTACTGACCTAATTATATATAATTTGATTTACAATAATCTTAAAAACAGGGATCCCCATGGGATCCCTGGGTGGCGCAGCGGTTTAGCGCCTGCCTTTGGCCCAGGGCGCGATCCTGGAGACCCAGGATCGAATCCCACGTCAGGCTCCCTGCATGGAGCCTGCTTCTCCCTCTGCCTATGTCTCTGCCTCTCTCTCTCTATCTCTGTGTAACTATCATAAATAAATAAAATTTTAAAAAAATAATCTTAAAAGCAAACAAACAAACAAACAAACAAACTGAACTTTAAGGCCACAACATGCATAACTATTTTCAAAATACTACCTTATTTCCAGCTAAGGAAAATAATTTTTCACTTGTCCTGGAGATGAACTTTTTTTTTACTTTTAAAATCCATTTACCATTACAAACTACAGTTTTGTCAGGAATGGTTACCACCCGCATGTAACTGCAGATGTAGGGTAGCAGCATACAGGGTAGTGACAGCAAGGAGATAACACACAGGAAAAGCCTCACCTGAAACCCAATTAAGGAAAGAATTCCTGACACTAAACTCCTCTTCAGACTCTTAGAAGAAGGCTATTTCGGGGATCCCTGGGTGGCTCAGCGGTTAGCACCTGCCTTCCTCCCAGGGCCTGATCCTGGAGTCCCGGGATCCAGTCCCACATCAGGCTCCCTGCATGGAGCCTGCTTCTCCCTCTGTCTGTGTCTCTGCCTTTCTCTGTCTCATGAATAAATAAATAAAGTCTTTAAAAAAAAAAAAAAAAAGGAGGAGGAGGAGAAGAAGGCTACTTCTGGAGAAGTACCTGGAGCCAGGAGGCCGCACACTCCAACACTGGGATTCGACACACAGCCACTGCCATGGAGACCAGTTTTCCCAACAAGCTCATCCGGCTGTCATCAGCCTTGTTCCCTTGGGGGCTGAAAAGGGATGAGAAAATAATCTGCCGGACAGAGTCCTTGGTTTGTTCCTGGAAGTAATTGCACATGATTTCGAGAAGTTGGAGCTCCTGAAGTGAATTCAACCTCTGTAAAACAAATCGGAGAGAAGCGATAAGAAATTCAGCTTTAACCTGTGCGTGAATTCTTAAGGCAAGAAAACAGAAAAGACTCCCTTTTCCCCAGGGAACTGTTCACTCCTCTACAGCCCGAGTCCCAGGGGAGAAGAACTCTGCTACTCTCAGATGTCACTATACGGAATTCTACATCATCCTGGGGCGCTCAGGACGACCTACACAGGTTTGAGACTCGATTACAGGCCTTTAACGTCTCTTCCCGCAGCACCACTGAGGCCGGGCTGTCGCACCCAGCTGAGCAATGCTCAGGAAGCCAGAGCAGGTGCGCTGGGGCTGCTGCGAAGGGGCCCGGCCACGGGCGAGAACGGAGCCGCTCAGACCAAGAGGGTCTGTGCTTGGCAAACGCCTGTCACCGCGAGGGGCGGAAGAGGGAGCGAGAGTCTCCTTCTCGCGGACGCCCGCCGCACCTTGGGCTGCGCGCCGCGCTCCTTGGGCACCTGGAACACGAACTCCTCGAGCAGCTCCACGGGGCCCTTGTCCACGATGGGCAGCGGCGCGCTCTGCAGCTGGCTGCTGAAGTAGATGTCCAGGTGGTACAACACCTCCTTGGCAGCGCTCAGCGCGTCGCGGCGCAGCAGCGAGTGGCGGATGTCGCTCATGGTGCGGCCGCCGCGGCCCGGGGCGCCCGGAGCGCGTCGGGACTTCCGCCCCGGGCCCCGCGGGCGCGCCCGCCGCCGCCGAGACAAAGAGGCCGCAACCCGGCCTCTGCCCGCCGACCCCGGCGCCCGCCCGCCTGCGGCTCCCGCTCGGGCCTGCTTAGGGGGCCATCGCCGCCGCCGCCGGCCAGCGGGCGCCCGGCTGTGCGACTGCGGCGCCACCGAGGGCAGCGGGAGCCCGACGCCGCGGAGCCGAACGGCGGCGGAATGCTGAGCGCTGCGACGGCGGCCCGCAGGGGCCAAGCGAGGGCCGTGGCGAGGGCCGGCTCTCGGGAGGGCGCCACCTGGCGGCCCGGCCCGCCCGCGTGGAGGGAGGCCCGCCCCGTCCCCCGGGCCCCGCCCCCGGGCCCCGCGACCGCCCTCGGACCTGGGGCCGGGCTGCCGCGCCCACAGCTGGACGCTGATTGGGCTTCGAGCTCCACCAGCCTTCGCGCAGGACGGGAAGCTCTTCTGGCTTCCTTTGCGCGGCGCTCGAAGCCTACTGATTTATTTCACCGCGCTTTTCCACCTGTAGGACGGGCTCGCTGGGGCTGGGACATAGCTCAGGCCTCAGCAGGCCGCGTCAAAGATTGTCTAGTCTGGAACTCTTGGGGCTGCGGTGACAAATGATGCCTCCTGACCCCCAGCCTCCAAGTTCTTGTCACGAGTTCCCCCTTCCCCAATCCCCTCCAGTACGGCCGGCCATGGCAATCTTAGGCATCCTGCTCCTAAAAACTCTCCCCTCCTAAAAGCTCTCAGCACTTTCTATGGATCTCTTCTGCATCCATCTCTGCACTGAATTAACGAGGCAGTGGCGGGGTGGGGCTCTGGGTGTTAGTTTGGATTTTAAAAACAGGGCATATAAGACTTGATCAGGGCCACAAGAGGCCAGTGACTGAGGGCAGGCAGGGGACAAGCACAAGACTGGGCCCATGCTGGCTCAAGGGAGGGCCTGGGTGAGAGTGCTAGGTCGGATTAAGGAGATGAAAAGCCAAGGCCTTTCTCCTTGGGAGAGGTGGAAAGGCCATCAAAAAGAGTACAGCCAGGCACAACCCCAAGTCACTGAGACTCTCCTGCACACCAGGGGACACAGTACAGACCCCTCCTGTCAGAAACCTAGAGTCTCTAGTGGAAGACCACGGTTAACCAGAACCTCTGGGACGTCCTCTTTGATTCCGCTGGCACCAGGACTTCAAATATACTCCATTCCAACAGGCTGAAGGAACAGAGGATGAGCAAGGGGGATTTCTACCACCGGATCTAGCATGGTCCTATAAGGATTAGGCACTCAGTAAACACTAGTTTTCTCTTCTCCTTAACCACTTAAAGCCGATTTATAAACATTCAGAAGCCAGAAAAAAAGACCCCCAAAACCAAAAAAACACCACACTAATGCTTACAAAGTATCTATATGTATAAATAAATGTATACTATATTTAAATGGCAGTAACACTTCCCATTCTCAGTTCTTCTTTCTCTCATAAGGTGCAGTGGCAGGTAGGAAGACCTCTCCAAGGTTGCTCCAAAGCCCATGGGAGTGAATGTTCCGGTTGACCTGGGTATCTGCTGATAGGGGCCGGGTCACATGGCGGCAATGATGGCACCAAGCCCGGTCACCATTGTGCCACTCGTTAGTGGTCTGGTTGGTGGCAGCCAGGTACAAAATAAAGCACAGGTAGCCCCCCAGGAGGAAGCTCAGCATCATGACAAAGCCCAGCATGAAGATAATCCTCGGGAAGGTCAGAAACAGGTACTGGAGGCAAAGAAGAAACAGCATGTTAGGCAGCTAGGCTGTGACACAAGTAAGTAAGCACCTCCCAGCCCTGGCGCGTTACATGGACAAGTGTGAGCTGCTCACCCAACTCATCCACCTCCATACACATCTGACCCACCAAACCCCAAACAACTATAAATGGCACTGACAGCCCAAGAGGAAACCCGGGTCTGTACGAGAGTCAAGTAAGATAAATGAAATCTGTAATGGAAGGAAAAGGGAAAGGATACTCAGGAGATGGTGCTTTGCCAGTTAACTATTTGTAAAATAAAGACAAACACAGATCTTAGTTGATGCATCAAAATAAAGTCCAGATGGACAGAGGAGATCAATCTCTCTCTCAACACAATATGACTACAGAAATACATGCATGAGAGTATTCACTGTAGTGATTTTAACAGGCCTTCTTCCTAAAAGAAACATGTTAAAAATTCCACCCATGAGGAAGAGTAAAACCCTAGGATAGTCATACTATGGAATAATAGCCAATAAAATGAGATCAATTTCCATGTACTCATCTGGAAAAGACATTGGTAAGATACTGCCAATGCGAAAGACAAGAGGCAAGGATTCACAATGGGATCATATTCAGGAAAAAACAAAAACAGACTCCATGAAGGTGTGTGACTGTATACACACAGGAAAAACGCCTGAAATGTGTATACCAAACTACAAAGATAGTTGCCTCTGGGGAGGGGAGGGGTTAGAGACCTTAGTTTTTTGTTTTTTCTAAAGAGATTTTAAATTTTATGCTTCTCCCTCCAACTTTATTGAAATATAATTGACATGACATTGTGAAAGTTTAAAAGTGTACAACGTAACATACAGCAAATGATCACAAGGTCAATACACCTATCACCAAACATAGTTAGAATTTTTTTGTGTGATGAGAACTTCTAAAACCCATTCTCTTAGCAACTTTCCAGTTTACAGCACCGTACTATAAACTAGTCACCAGGCTATACATCAAATCCCCAGGATTTACTCATCTTTCAACTATAAGTTTGTATCTCCCTATGCCCACTTTCCCTGTTTCTCTGCCTTTTCATTTTAAATGTTTCTGGACTGCTTGAATCTTTAGAATTTATTTTTTATAATAAAGAAAATGAATTTTGAAAGAGTTCAATATTTTTGAAAGTCACAAAAATTTAAAAAAAATTATATATATATATATAAAAAAAAGGGATCCCTGGGTGGCACAGCGGTTTGGCGCCTGCCTTTGGCCCAGGGCGCGATCCTGGAGACCCGGGATCGAATCCCATGTCAGGCTCCCGGTGCATGGAGCCTGCTTCTCCCTCTGCCTATGTCTCTGCCTCTCTCTCTCTCTCTCTCTCTCTCTCTCTCTATCATAAATAAAAATTTAAAAAAAATATTAAAAAAAAAGAAAGTCACAAGTAAAAGCAGATGCATCTCTTGAAACGAGAGAACTTCTAACTGAAGTTACAAAGAAAAGAGATTTGATAAGAAAGGATTTCTGCATTTTTTATTTATTTATTTATTTTTTAATTTTTATTTATTTATGATAGTCACACAGAATGAGAGAGAGAGGCAGAGACATAGGCAGAGGGAGAAGCAGGCACCATGCACCGGGAGCCTGACATGGGATTCGATCCTGGGTCTCCAGGATCGTGCCCTGGGCCAAAGGCAGGCGCTAAACTGCTGCGCCACCCAGGGATCCCTGCATTTTTTAATACAAAAAAGGATACACAGGGCAGCCCGGGTGGCTCAGGGGTTTAGCACCGCCTTCAGCTCAGGACGTGATCCTGGAGACCCGGAGTCGAGTCCCAGGTCGGGCTTCCTGCATGGGGCCTGCTTCTCCCTCTGCCTGTGTCTCTGCCTTTCTCTCTGTGTCTCTTATGAATAAATAAATAAAATCTTAAAAAAAATATATATATACAAATGAAAACAAATACAAGAATAAACTATCATTACTATATGATCTCAAATCAAAAGTAATGTTAGGGGGATCCCTGGGTGGCTCAGCGGTTTGGCACCTGCCTTTGGCCCAGGACACGATCCTGGAGTCCCGGGATCAAGTCTCATGTCAGGCTCCCTGCATGGAGCCTGCTTCTCCTTCTGCCTGTGTCTCTGTCTCTGTCTGTCTCTCATAAATAAATAAATCTTTAAAAAAAAGTAATATTAGTATCAAATAGGTAAACAGTTAAAGGACATAAGTCATAAAAGCAGATCTATAGATGATTGACAAACAAGAAAACTAATCAACAGCAACAAAAGAAATAGTTTTTAGAAAGAGTAAACCATATTTTCCTACCACACTAGAAGCACTCGCCACCACTGGGCATCCTCAGTGCCTGCTCTGATGCAACAAAATGAACATGGACAAATCACTCTAAGCAGAAGGTTTTTAAAAAAGCAATCTGACTATATTAAAATCAAAAGATCTGTAAATGTTAATAATCTCTGACCCAGTATGTATATTTTTTGGAACCTATCCTACAGAAAATCTTAAGTACAAAAACAAAAACATATACACAGATGACCCACTGCAAAGGGGAAAATACACTTCATCAATGGAGACAGCTGGGTGTCACTGGTCCTCTGTTCCACCTGATGGGAAGCAATATGAAATACACATTCTTGCCAAAAATACTTGACCTGAGTCTATGCAGGGCGCTAGAACTAACTTCCAGTTCACATTAATATTAAGGAATATAGAAAAATCAGTTGACAAAAGTAGGAAAAAGGCAAATTTGTAACAAGGGACATTCTAAAAGACAGCTATTAAATGTCAATTTCACAAAAAAAGGTTGGGGCCATTATTTTAGAGAGACTGAGAACATTCAAATGCAGAGTAACTATGAGGTGGGTTCTGGCTCACAGAGGTAAAAAAGCTATAAAAGACACATTTGACAGATGTCTGGGTGGCTCAGCGGTTGAGCGTCTGCCTTTGGCTCAGGGCCTGATCCTAGAAGCGGGCTCCCTGCCTACAGCCTGCTTCTCTCTCTGCCTGTGTCTCTTCCTCTCTCTCTCTCCATATCTCTCATGAATAAATAAATAAATTCTTAAAAAAAATTTTGAAAAAAAAGAAATAAAAAGACAATAGGGAAATTTGAATATGGATTAGATGATTTATTATATATTTACTACATATTCTATGTTTGTTATACAGATTTATTACTTTTCTTAGGTGAGATAACCTAATTGTAGTTAAGGTGACATTCTTTTTTTTTTTTTTTTTTAATAAATTTTTATTTATTTATGATAGTCACACACAGAGAGAGAGAGACAGGCAGAGACACAGGCAGAGGGAGATGCAGGCTCCATGCACCGGGAGCCCGACATGGGATTCGATCCTGGGTCTCCAGGATCGTGCCCTGGGCCAAAGGCAGGCGCCAAACCGCTGCGCCACCCAGGGATCCCTAAGGTGACATTCTTTAAGAATGCACATTCACATATTGAAGGGCAAAGCAACATGACATCTCCAATTTATGATCCCAACATGCAGCTTGATCCCACCACCCTGAGATTACAACCCAAACAGAAATCAAGAGTCAGATGCTTAATGGACTAAGCCACCCAGTTGCTTCATAACTGAAAGAAATTTTAAGAATAAAAATTACTCAAGGTTGAAATGATGAGGTTGTTGCTACACATCTATCGGAATGGCTAAAATGAAAAATAGTGATAACATTAGGTGCTGGCAAAGATGCAGAGAAACCAGTCCCTCCTCCATCACTGGTGAGGATGCACAATGGTACAACCACTCTGAAAAAGAGTATGGTGGTCCTTTCTAAGACTTAAAATAGACCTATCATCAACCCAACAATCACAGTGAAGACAGATCATTACACAGGAACTTGTAAATGGGAATGTTCAATGCCGCTTTTTGCAGCTGATGGCCTTCAAATGGTGAATGGTTAAACAAAGCATGGACTACTATACAGCAATAAAAAGGAACCCTAGATCCATGCAACTGTTCTCATGAACCTCAAGGAAATTGCACTGAGTGAAGAAACCAACTTCAAAAAGATACTGTATGATTCCATTTATGTAACGATCATGAAATAACATTATAACAGAGATGGAGAAGGGAGTAGTTGTGCCAAGCATTAGGGATATGGAGAGGAAGCTGTAGCTATAAAGGGTAACACAAGGGAGTCTGTGGCGATGGATAATAGAGCATGCTAGTGGTGGGTTATTTGTGCACATGTGACAAATTGCACAGAGCTATATACACACACCAGGCAACAGATTCTTACATAAAACATTCTTACAATAAACACATATGTAATTCGTGAAATCTAACTGGACCTGGGGATTGTGCCAAAGTCAATTGCTTGGTTTTGGCCTTGTGCTGGATAGGGATGCTGGCATGGGAAGAGGGGCTAAAGAGTGTATAGACTTCCTGTGTGCCTCTTTATAATCTCCTGTAAATCTGTAATTATTTCAAAATAAATTTTAAAAAAACTAGCTTTAAGACTGTGTACTTTATCATATTAAGACAGTATCCTGGGATGCCTGGGTGGCTCAGTGGTTAAGCGACTGCCTTCAGCTCAGGGCATGATCCTGGAGTTCCGGGATCAAGTCCTACATTGGGCTCCCTGCATAGAGCCTGCTTCTCCCTCTGCCTAAGTCTCTGCTTCCCTCCTGTGTCTCTCATGAATGATAAATAAATTTTTTTTTTTAAAGACAGTATCCTTCAATTCTTATTATCTGAGTGCTTTTATAGAATGAGTGTTGAATTCTGTGAAAGGCTTTTCAGCATCTAGAGAAATAATCACGTCATTGTTCTTTATATTTAATAATGCTATATAAAACATTAATCAATTTCCTAATATTGAACCAAACTTGCATTCATGGACTACATCTCACTTGTTCATGGTATTTTATTATCTTTAAAATGGAATAAATAAATAAATAAAATCTTTTTTTTTAAAAAAGAAAAAACACTCAAACAGAAGCAACCAGTTACCTAAAATAGTGACTGCTCATAAGCTACTTCCCATAAATGCAACAGAAATCTTTTAGCCATAAAAGATTTGAGTTTTTATAAGAAGCCTATATAAAAGATTTGAGTTTTTATAAGAAGTCTATGTTATTGTAAATAAATTTTTGACAAGGGTGCCAAAACAATTCAATGAACAAAGAAGGGTATCTTTAACAATAGATGCTGGGACACTAAAAGTATCAAGAGAGAGCCCAACCCTACAAAACATACAAAAATTGACTCAAAAAAGGATCAAAGACCTAAATGTAAGAGTTAAATATATAAACACAAGAATACATAAGTATAAATCTTCATGACCTTGGAGCAGGCAACAGATTCTTACATATGACACCAAAGCATAACCAACAACAACAACAAAAAACCCTAAACTTAAAATACAGAACTTTTTTGTTTCAAAGAAAGCTATCCAAAAAATGAAAAACCCACAGAATGGGAAAAAATACTTGCTAATCCTACATCTGAGATGGGTCAAGTGTCCAGGATATACAAAGAATTCTTACAACACAAGAAAACAACCCAATTAAAAAATGAGCTTCTCCTGTAAATCTTCTTTTCCAAAGAACACATATAAGTGGCTAAGAAACACACAAAAAGAGGCTCAGCATTATTAAGTCAACAGGGAAGTGCAAATCAACTCACAAGGGCACCGCTTTACATCCATTAGGATGACTTTAATCAAAAAGACATAATAACAAGTTGGAACCTTCATATACAGATGGTAGGAATGTAAAATGGTGAAGATACTTTGGAAAACAACCTGGCAGCTCCTCAAATGACTACAAGTATAGTGACCATATGACCTAGCAATTCTACTCCTGGGTATGACTCAAGAGCAATGGAAACCTCTATCCACACAAAAGCTTGTACACAGATGTTCACAGCACCCTTATTCAAAAATAAAAAGTGAAAACATTCAAATATCCATAAGTAATAAATGAATAAAATGTGGTATACATCTACACAGTGGAATATTATTTAGCCTCCAAAAGGAGTGAAATATTGATTCATGCTACAACACGGATGAACCTTGAACACATTATGCTAAGAAAAAGAAGCCAGTCCAAGGCCACAAATGTCCAACTACATTTATGTGAAATGCCCGGAAAAGGCAAATCCATAAACACAAAAAGCCAGTTAGTGGTTACAAGGAAAGAGAAGGGTGGAGAGTAACTGGTAATAGGTAAGAGTTTATTTCTTGGGTGATGAAATGTTCTGAAATTAAATGGTGGTGGTGGTTACACAACTCTGAACCACTAGATCTTATACTTTGAAAGGATGAATTTTAGGGGCACCTGGTTGACTCAGTAGGAAGAGCATATGACTCTTGATCTTGGGGTCATGAGTTTAAACCCCACATTGAGTGTAAAGATTACTAAAAAATAAATAAATAAACTTAAAAAAAGGATGAATTTTATAGCACACATATTATATATCAATTTAAAAAATTATATATTGGAGTGTCTCAGTACTAAGTTGGTTAAGCATCCAACTCTTGATTTCAGCTCAGGTCATGATCTCACGATTGTGAGACTGAGTCCTGTGTTGAGGGTGCTTTCTTTCTCTCTATCTTAATCTAAAATAATAAATAAAATCTTAAGTAAATAAATAATAAAAACTTTATTTTATTTTATTATTATTTTTTAAAGATTTATTTATTTATTCATGATAGACATAGAGAGAGAGAGAGAGAGAGGCAGAGACACAGGAGGAGGGAGAAGCAGGCTCCATGCCGGGAACCCAACGCAGGACTCGATCCCGGGACTCCAGGATTGCGCCCTGGGCCAAAAGCAGGTGCCAAACCACTGAGCCACCCAGGGATCCCCAATAAAATTTTTTAAATTATATATTGACTTTTTTTTTTTTAAAGATTTTATTTATTTATTCATGATAGTCACAGAGAGAGAGAGAGAGACAGAGAGGCAGAGACACAGACAGAGGGAGAAGCGGGCTCCATGCAGAGAGCCCGACGTGGGATTCGATCCCGGGTCTCCAGGATCGCGCCCCGGGCCAAAGGCAGGCGCCAAACCGCTACGCCACCCAGGGATCCCTATATATGGACTTTTAAAAAAGGAATAGCTCCATCTTTTGACTGGGAAAATGACCTTTTTCCAATTTTGAAACCTAATATCAGAAACACATCCCACAACACAACTACCTGAATTAATTACCTGAATAAGAAAGAAAATGTCAACAGCCTGGAAGTGTCCAAGGTGATCAATGTAAGTTTCCAAATACAAGTCAGACAACACCACCAACTGGACCAGAAACACAGTGCTCACGATGGCCATGGTGGCTGCTGAGGCTGTCAACGTCAAGAGGTAGAGGAGGAAGTACCTGGCGTTCCAGGCTCCAATGCAGTTGTTCACCCAAACACAGTGGTGGTCAAAACGGTGCACACACCTGTTACAAACACCTGCACAGAAACAAGAATGCAACAACACTGAGTTAGTCCTTGATGAAAAATGAGACAAAAAGCACACTTACAGAGATTTTTAGACTGACTACTGGCAGTATGAGCTGGAAGAAATGGTGGCTGCTGTCACCAAGCTCTTAAAACCGCAGTGTCCAATAAAGTAGCCACGAGCCACAGGTGGGTATTAAGCACTTGAAATGTGGCTACAAGAAAAAATTTGGAAGAATATTCTGTTGATATTGATAAATTTAGAGTTCTTCAATTCATGCAATGCTCCTTTAAGTTCAACATGAGTAATACTGATATGACACAAGAGTTAGTGAACTTAACTTGAACAGATTTTTTTTAATTAATTTATTTATTTATGATAGACACAGAGAGAGAGAGAGAGAGAGAGAGAGAGAGAGAGAGAGAGGCAGAGACACAGGCAGAGGGAGAAGCAGGCTCCATGCCAGGAGCCCGACACGGGACTCGATCCCGGGACTCCGGGACTGCGCCCTGGGCCAAAGGCAGGCACCAAACCGCTGAGCCACCCAGGGATCCCGGACAGACAGAATTTTAAAACTGAGGCTTTAAAGTCAAATCAATTCTTCAGATAAAGACAAATTATTGAGGCACCTATGTGGCTCAGTTGGTTAAGCATCTGCCTTCAGCTCAGGTCATGATCTCAGGCTCCTGGAGTCAAGCCCCATACTGGGCTCCCTCTAAGCGGGGAATCTGCTTATCCTTCTCTCTCTGCCCCTCCACCCACTTGTGTAAGCATATGCACATTCTCTCTCAAATAAATAAAATCTTTTTTTTTTTAAAGGTTGAACTGTTACATGGGTATTAAACAGAAATAATTTTTTGGTACTGATTCAGTAACCAAAAAACTTCTGAGAATTTCTAGAATAACTTGGGTATGTGAATCTGCTCTTCCGACAGCAAATTTTATGAAATCTAAATACAGATCAAGTATTTCCAAGGAAAATTTAGTGTCTCAATTGAGATGTGCTGTAAATGGAAAATATGTGTCAGTTTTCAAAGACAGTATGAAAAAGAGACCATAAACTATCCCATGAATGATTTTTTTATACTGACTACACATTAAAATGATATTTTAGATAAGTTAGGTTAAATAAAATATATAATTAAATCCAATGTTGCCTCATTTTACTTTTGTAATGTGGCTACTAGAAAATTTAAATCACATATATGGCTCATGATATATTTTTGTTGGATGGCACTAGTCTAGAATCTCGGCTATTCCCCAGAAGAGTAGGTTCTGCCAGGGCTAAAATCTGCAAACACAACATCCCACAGAAATTCCTGCTGGGCCACATGCCCTACCACATGGCAAAGGAAGGGCTGTTCTGCCCAGGGCTGAGCTGCGCATTACACAAGAACATTAAGAACTTACCTCCAGTCATCTGAAAGAAACAATTTGGCCTCTACAAGCAGTGGCTGTCCCATACTGGGAGACCAAGGGCCCTGCTTTTGGATTTCTGTAACATTCCCTTACTGAGAAAGCCCACGTATTTGCTGTGCAAGGCTAGAGCTGGAGCAATCAAAGCCAAACTTACTGCAGTGTTTGGATCGTGCTGGTTTCCTTAAATTGCACGTAGAGCACTTCATATTCTTTAAGAACATCACTTCATCGAATTCATAAACTTGAAGAAACAGTAACTCATTTGCTTTCGTTATGGTACCTGAAAAAAGTAAGGACAAACATCAGTTCCAAGCAATATGGTTGACTAAACATTCACAAAATCTGTCCTGACAAAGTGCAACTAAGACTTCTATATTTAACATTCTAAATAACTCACTTTAAAATAAATAGCTAAAAAAATAAGTAAATAAAATAAAATAAATAGCTTTACTGAGATACAATTCATAAACCCAATTCACCCATTTAAAGTACACAATTCAACAGTTTTTAGTATACTCACAGAGTTATACGACGATCATCACAATCAATTTTATTTTTTTATTTTATTTTTTTTTAAGATTTTATTTATTTATTCATGATAGACACACAGAGAGAGAGAGGGGCAGACACAGGCAGAGGGAGAAGCAGGCTCCATGCCAGGAGCCCGATGCAGGACTCGATCCCGGGACTCCGGGATCGCGCCCTGGGCCAAAGGCAGGAGCTAAACCACTGAGCCACCCAGGGATCCCCCACAATCAATTTTAGAACATGTTTATCGCTTTAAAAAGAAAGCCCTTAGGGGTGCTTGGGTGGCTCAGTTGGTTAAGTGCCCACCTTCAGTTCAAGTCATGATCCCAGGATCCTGGGGTCAAGTTCCACACTGGGCTCCTCCTCAGGGCTCCCTGCTCTACAGAGAGTATGCTTCTCCCTCTCTCTCTGCTCCTCCCACTCTCCTCACTTGAGGTCTCTCTCTCTCAAATAAATAAAGTCCTTTTTTTTAAGATTTTTATCTTAAAAAAATCTTTAAAAATCTTAAAAAAAACTTAAAATCTTAAAAAAAAACTTTACTCTTAAAAAAAAGATTTTATTTATTTATTCATGAGAGAAACAAAGAGAGAGAGAGAGAGAGGCAGAGACAGGCAGAGGGAGAAGCAGGCTCCACAAAGGAAGCCCGACATGGGACTCGATCCCAGTCTCTAGGATCACGCCCTGGGCTGAAGGCAGCACTAAACCACTAAGCCACCCGGGCTGCCCTAAATAAAATCTTTAAAAAAAAAGAAAAGAAAAGAAAAGAGAAGAAAGAAAAAGAAAAGAAAGAAAGAAAAGAAAGAAAAAGAAAGAAAGAAAAGAAAGAAAGAAAAGAAAAGAAAAGAAAAGAAAAGAAACCCCTTAGCAGTCACCCCATTTCTCTTGAATCCTAGCTCTTGGCAATCACTAATCTACTTTCCGTCTCCATGCATTTGCCTTGTTTGAATATTTCATATAAATGGAATCATACAACTTGTGGTCTTTTGTATCTGGCTTCTTTCATTTAGCATAGTTTTCCAAGGTTCCTCTAAGTTCTAACATATATCACTCCTTCATTCCTTCCCGTTACAGAATACTGTTCCATGGAGAAGGCACATCACATTTACCTATTCACCAGTTGATGGACACTTGGTGCTTCAAGGACAGGAAAGCTTAAAAGTAAAGGCATGGAAAAAAGATACCAAGCAAATATCAATCCCCAAAATCCCCAAAAAAAGGGTAAGGGGCACCTGGGTGGCTCAGTCAGTTAAGCATATGACTCCTGATCTTGGCTCAGGTCATGATCTCAGAGTCGTGAGACTGAGCTCTGCATTGGGCTTCACACTCAACATGGAGTTTGCTTAAGATTCTCTCTCTCCCTCTCCCCCTCTTAAAAAAATAAAAGTGTAATAATATTAATATCAGACAAAAAAAGAACAAAGAACAATACTAGTAACAAAGAGACAAATACCCACCATTTGCTTCAACGTGGATGGAACTGGAGGGTATTATGCTGAGTGAAGTAAGTCAATCAGAGAAGGACAAACATTATATGTTCTCATTCATTTGGGGAATATAAATAATAGTGAAAGGGAATATAAGGGAAGGGAGAAGAAATGTGTGGGAAATATCAGAAAGGGAGACAGAACATAAAGACTCCTAACTTTGGGAAACGAACTAGGGGTGGTGGAAGGGGAGGAGGGTGGGGGGTGGGGGTGAATGGGTGACGGGCACTGGGGGGGGGCACTTGACGGGATGAGAACTGGGTGTTATTCTGTATGTTGGTAAATTGAACACCAATAAAAAATAGATTTATTATAAAAAAATATTCAAGGAAAAAGGAATAGCAATTCTAAACTTGAATGCATATAATATAAAAATATATATTATATATACCTACACACACATACGCACATATACAACAGCTTCAAAATAAGTAAAGTCAAAACTGACTGCCAGAAGAAACCTCAAATCTATCATCAAAATGAGATAACAGGGATCCCTGGGTGGCGCAGTGGTTTGGCGCCTGCCTTTGGCCCAGGGCGCGATCCTGGAGACCCGGGATCGAGTCCCACGTCGGGCTCCCGGTGCATGGAGCCTGCTTCTCCCTCTGCCTGTGTCTCTGCCTCTCTCTCTCTCTCTCACTGTGTGCCTATCATAAATAAATAAAAAAAAAAATTAAAAAAAAAAAAAATGAGATAACATGGGACGCCTGGGTGGCTCAGCAGTTGAGCATATGCCTTTGGCTCAGGGCATGATCCCCGGATCTGGGATTGAGTCCTACATTGGGCTCCCTGCGTGGAGCCTGCTTTTCCCTCTGCCTATGTCTCTGCTTCTCTCTCTCTCTCTCTGTCTCTCATGAATAAATAAATAAAATCTTTAAAAAAAAAAAGTTGAATAACAAAATGAGATAACATACTTCTCAGTAACTGAGCAACCAAAAAAATTAATACAAATATAAAAGATTTGAACATAATTAACAAACTTGATCTAATGGACTCACATGCTGTCTACACCAAGAACTAGAAAATACACACTCTTTCTTTTTTTAATGTTATTGTTGTGTTTTATCTTTTTTTTTTTTAAAGACCTTTTATTTTATTTACTCATGAGAGATACAGAGCGAGAGAGAGAGGCAGAGACACAGGCAGAGGGAGAAGCAGGCTCTACGCAGGGAGCCCGACATGGGACTCAATCTCGGGTCTCCAGGATCACACCGTGGGTTGCAGGCGGCGCTAAACTGCTGCGCCACCGAGGCTGCCCAAATACACACTCTTTCAAGCCCACAGGTCATTTACAAAAATAACACATAACTGGATATGATGCAATAAAATTTGTAAAAGAGGGGCAGCCCTGGTGGTGCAGCGGTTTAGCGCCACCTGCAGCCCAGGGCTTGATCCTGGAAACCCTGGATTGAGTCCCACATCAGGCTCCCTGTATGATGCCTGCTTCTCCCTCTGCCTGTGTCTCTGCCTCTCTCTCTCTCTCTGTCTCTATGAATAAATAAATAAAATCTTTAAAAAAAAATTGTAAAAGAAACAGAGCCATACAGACCAAAAACTCTCTATATAACACAATTACTAGTGAAGTACCAAAAAATAAACTAAAAAAGTATATGGAAAATTTTAAGCAGTTCTAAATAATCCATGAATCATAGAAGAAAAAAAATAAAATCAGAAGACAATCACAATGAAAAAAAAAGATCATGAAAACACTACATATCTTATCTTTTACGAAGTCCCCGGAGGCCTCACTAGTCTGTAGCACTGCAAGAGTAAGGTTGATTCTCACCAGTCTCCATACTGAAAGCTTCAACTTACCAGGGTCACTTACACAGCTGAGAGTGAAAAACACCAGGTTTATAATCAGCAGAAAATAGGGCAGAAGAAGGTAACACAAGGAGAACTCCAGCTCTCGACAGTAGCCAAATATTTCCCAGGTGTATTCACTGTAAACCATCCCTTGCAAGATGAGGTGCAGGATAATGAAGGTGTGGTTTCTGAAAGGAAACGGGTACATGGCTTGTTCACAGGGCCTTCTTCATAAAGAAATCATATAATACTAACCTGAACCCAGAGCCAACCACGTCTTTTGAGCTTGAGATAATAGCAAGAATTACATAAGAGACAATGTGAGACAATTCTCATAGTACCTAGCAAGACTTAGTACTCAATAGATGCTATCTATTATTATCAACTTTTTTTTTTTAGGATTTTAGTTATTTAGGGAGAGTGTGAGACCAGGGGAAGGGGCAGAGGGAGAGAGACTCTCAAGCAGACTCCACGCTAAGTGTGGAGCTCAAAGCAGGGCTTAATCCCATGACCCTGAGATGATGACCTGAACCAAAATCAAGAGGTGGATGGCTCCACTGTCTGGGCCACCCAGGCACCCTTATTATCTTTATTAGGAATTGAGGTATCAGGATATATCTCTTCACAGAAATGCATGCAATATATTGCCACTCTAAATATTTCAGTGAAAACTCCAGAAATAAAAGGCAGATTATGAGGAGAGGTCCTGAACCTAGGACTCTTGATCCTTTCCAGCCTCCTTCCCCAAACCATGGCTGGAAACCAACAAGGAGCTTCCTGAAGCTAGAGGACAGCAACAATTAAAAATCAAACCAGGAAAGAAGATAGTATTTTTTTTAAGATTTTATGTACTTATTGCGGGGTGGGGGGGCAACGGGAGGGGCAGAGGGAGAGAATCTTAAGCAGACCCTGTGCTTAGCACAGAGTCCAACTTGGGGCTCAATCTCAGGACCCCAAGATCATGACCTGAGCTGAAACCAAGAGTCAGATGCTTAACCAATGAGCCATCTGGATGCCCCGAAAAGAAGATAGTATTTAAACTCTGAAATATAAATACCGTGTACGGAAGAGGTAATGAAGCAATTTTGGCATAGCTCTCTGAAGGCATTTTGGAATTATACAGGAAATTATCTAAAACAAAAAAGAATTCATTGTCATTTGTCATTCCCCACTCCCAAATTAGATGCTTCACTTTCAGCTGGTGATATTTGGTGATTTGCACTTCTGCATATGGGCAGAGAAGAGATTTAAGAGAGAATAAAATGCAGGGCTTCCCTCAGCTGGTCTTTCTCTAATGCCAGCTCCTCTGTTTTCACCTAACTCCAGAGAAAACACCATGTCAGGGTCTTCAGGCAAAGGAAGGAGAGCAGAGGAGCTGGATTAGGTAATGTTAATGTGAACTCCACTCCTTTCCTGCTTTGGGTTCAATCCTAGGTTCAAGTCCATCTGTAATCACTGGGCATTAGCCCAGGTTACCCCCCAAGTCAACCCCTTCCCAAAGGTTGATGACCTCAACTTTGCTCACTTTGATCCTTGAAGGAGTGTGGGCAGCCTGATGCTCAGCTCCTTAATCATACAGCTCCCTGTTCCACCCATCCAGCCCCTCCATGCAGACACTGTTCACATCCATGCCCAACTACAGGCATCAAATCCAGAGAAAAATAGCCAACCTTAAGAATGTTATCTTCTCTCAAAGCAACATCACAAGATTACTTTCAAAAGCAACAAAACCCAGAAACTTTCAAAAATTACATAGCTGCCATAAGTGAAGTGAACAAATGAATAAACATGGCATCTCCTTTTTGTTTCATCAGGGAACTGGTGAGCCTTTTAGATTGGTAGTAGTGAAAATCCAGTGTCTCCAAGAATCGTCGTTACCTGTGCTCCTCCTCTGACTACACCTTTCAGGTAATGGGTTTTTGAGCAGATGCATACTGTAACAACACCGATCAGCACCAAAACCAGGTAGAACAAGAAGAGAACCAAGAAGTCCATCCTGAGGCTACAAAGAAACAGAAAGAGTGTGACTACTATTGAGGGATATATTCCATCGCGCATATTCTCAGACATCAGCTCCATAAATGGCTCCCAAAACAATTCATCAGCACTTATGCACGCACTGCTGAGGCCTCCCAGATGGTCCAGAGCTCCCTCTCCTTCAAGAATTTCCTAATCAAAAAAAGAATTTCCTAATCAAACCACTATGATTTATTTAGGGCATCTCCTGCCTGCAAATTACAAAAAAAAAAGGCGGGGGGGAATATGCAAAATGCATACATCTTCCCTCCTACCCATAACAAATCATCTTTGTACTTAAATATAAACTTGCATAGATATTGCTACCGAATGTACCCCAAAAGAATCTACTGACCATGCTACTGGTACAAGCATCCCCTAGTGGCAGTCCCAGGACTCACTCCCACAACAATCGTGGCTCACCCACGGGGACTAGAGTCAACACACAGGCTTGTATTAACTGGAAAAGGTTACTTTTGGCCTTAGCAGATATGATTCAGGCCCGGACTTCCACCTAAGATAACCAAACTACAAACTATTCACAAGATAAGACAGAGGAAACAAAGAAGAGCAATTCTCACGAGGTGATTCAGGGTCCCCGGCTTATGTAGTTCTCGTTTGGATAATTTTCTACTGGCAGCTAGGGCATTCCTTCTCTCAATATTCAAGGAGAATTCAAACAGCATCTCCTCTTGGGCAGCGGCATGTGCCTGGCACAACAGGTGGCACCCAAAGCTGCAGGAGGCATGGTTCTCCTAGAAGGCTGGATCTCGCTGCAGAGACATCGATAAAGCACTCACATAATAAAACAGGGTGGGAGTCAAAGGCGGTATAAATGGTGGAAAATAACTTGAAATGTTGAGATTCCCCCCCCGCCCCCGCGCGAGGGGGTGTTGCGATCCAGCGGGGTGAACCGGGTTATACGACTTTGGCAGGAAAAGTTAATTGGGAAGAATAAGCCAGTACCCTCGGATCCCGGGTCCTATCCCTAATCCCTAAGGTGTCCACTCTGGCCACCGGACAGAATGCCTTTCCGAGGCTGCACTCTCCGAGGGTCCCGGCGGGTGGGCCTGGCCGAAGCTCTCCCCGGGGGCCGGGACCCTGAGTGGGAGGCGGGGTGCAGACGGCGCAAAGGGGATACGGTGGGTAGCAGGGTGGAGGTGGGCCTGCGACCACACACACACACACACACACACACGGTGGAAGGGCGGATTAGACAAGGAGACAGACGCCCCTGGGCCAACTCGTATCAAAAAACCCTCAAAGGCGGCCTTACCGCCGGAATGGGCCAACGGCCAGTCGCACCCAGGCGGCGCCTTCAAGGAGCTTCTCTAGACTTCCGGCGGGCCTGTGACCTCACTCCGGGCGCCGGCAGCCAAGCCGACTTCCGGCGGAAGTGCGGTCCAGCGGGCAGCTGCTGGGGGCGGGCTTGCTCCTGGCGTTTGTTTGCTTTTCTGGGGGGGTTGTCACTAGCTGCCCGCCTTGGCTCCTCCAGAAGAGGAGGTCGGGTTTGAGGGACGGAAAAATCGCGCTTTGCAATACTATTGCCAGATATCTTAGAAAAAGACGCTCCTAAGCCAGTGCGGGTGTTGTGAAGCGCGCCGAGTAGAGCCCAGCCACGCGGGGACCCCGGCTGACCCATGGCGGGTACACTTAGGGGTGCCTCTGCCGTGTCTTCGCGATGGGCAGGACTAGCTTTGCTTTGTGCCAGTCGCCCCACTGGGATCTGTCCGAACCGTCCCCGTGTCTTTGCTCCTGCTGTCTCAAAACAGCTCTGAACGTCCTGCCCCTGGGAACAGTGACAATTGCTTGACTACAAACCTGGAGGATAAGAAGGAAGTCTGTTTAAGGATAGTTGGTCCGGGGGTGGAAAGAGCTGCTTCCAAACATAGCATCGAGAAGGCCCCTGTGGGGTGTCCCTTTGCTCCGAACCCCTCTGAATCCGCGGAGACCAGTAGTCTATTCTTGATGCCTCTGAAGAGCTGTCAAGCCTGTCCTCCCTTTGAGGGGGGACTGTCTGATCTCCAAACGCTAGCTTTCAGGCTCTTCTCTACCTACCCCAGCTTCTCGATTCCTTTTCTTTTTCCTTTTTAAGAAACTTACAGGCGGGGCGCCTTCTGGTACATGGTGTGCAAAGCCTTCATGAGCTCCTGGACACAGAACTGAGAAAACAAAACCTGCAAATCAGAAGCCGTGATTGCCGCGGGGGGAATACTGGTTAGGGATGGAAGGTCATCCCGTGTCCGGAGTGGGCTGCATCGCATCAGTTTCTCCAGCTGACTCATCACCCTGCTGATTAATTCTGAGCTGGTAGTTAAGTATTTGGGGTTCCTTTTTTTGGCTCATCAATGCAGAACTATATTTTTATCCCCATTCATTTTCCTCGGGATGGTTTCAGTGGAGACTTAACTTTGAATCTTGGTTTGATCACCTATAGCATTTTGCGCTGGGTTCTTTTTTTTAAGATATATATATTATTAATGAGAGACAGAGAGAGAGAGAGCGCAGCAGAGACACAGGCAGAGGGAGAAGCAGACTCCATGCAGGGAGCCTGATGTGGGACTCGATCCCGGGTCTCCAGGATCACACCCTGGGCAGAAGGCGGCACTAAACCGCTGAGCCACCCGGGCTGCCCTGGGTTGTCTTTAATTATTTAAAATTTACACAAGAAATACAATGCTATGTTCATGTAAAAAAAAAAAAACAACCAAACTATACAAAACTGTTCCTTGAACACTGCCCCCAAATCCCAGTCCCTAGACAAAATTAATCATTTATTTGGGAGGTATGTACCTCCCAAAATTCTTTTAGATATTTATTCATAAATACTTTTTTTAAAAAATATTTTATTTATTCATGAGAGACACAGAGAGAGGCAAAGACATAGGCAGAAGGAGAGCCTGATGCGGGACTTGATCTTGAGACTCCAGGATCACGCCCTGAGCCAAAGGCAGACGCTCAACTGCTGAGCCACCCAGGTGTCCCATATTCATAAATATGTGAATTCAACACATATATATTGAGTACCCAATGTTTATAAATAAGTATATAGTTCACTGTTGTTTACAGAAATGGCATTATACATAATGGTCCTCCATCTTCCTTTTTTGTTTTTTTATTCTCTTTTCAATCTTGATGATCTTTCCATGTGTGTACCTACTGCTTTGTATTTACCTCATTATAGATATTTCATTACATAGCTGAGCCATAACTCATCTGCCAGGGTCCCACCTTCCTTTGTGTACAGGGGCTCTGCAGGTAGTAAATAAAGTGACAAGTAGAGCAAGTGTATTTTGTTATAAGCAGAAATAGCTATTTATGCAGACCAAAGGATTCTTTTTTTTAAATACATTTTTAAAGTTTTTATTTATTTATTCATGAGAATACACAGAGAGGAGAGAGAGAGAGAAAGAGAGAGGCAGAGACACAGGCAGAGGAAGAAGCAGGCTCCATGCAGGGAGCTCGACGTGGGATTCAATCCCGGGTCTCCAGGATCACACCCTGGGCTGTAGGCGGTGCTAAACCGCTGAGCCATGGGGGCTGCCCAGACCAAAGGATTCTTAACTTGAATTCCAGTGAGGTGTTTTGTTTTTTTTTTTAAGATTTTTATTTATTTGAGAAAGAGAGTGAAGAAGAGAGAGAGCAAGAACACGAGCTGGGGTCAGGGAAGGAGCAAAGGGAGAAGCAGACTCCCTGCTGAGTCAGGAGCCCAATACAGGGCTGGATCCCAGGACCCTGAAATCATGACCTGAGCCAAAGGCAGACACTTAACTGACTGAGCCACCTAGGTGTCCTAGTGTTTTAAAGATTTATTGGGGGGGGGGGGCAGAAGGAGAGAGAATCTCAGGTAGACTCAGCGCTGAGTACAGAGCTTGATATAAGGTTCAATCCCAGGACCCTGAGGTCACGACCTGAGCTGAAAACACGAGTCAAATCCTCAACCTTCTGTGCCACCCAAATGCCCTTTGAATGCCAGTGTTTTAAGAGTATTTGGAACCTGGACTTTTATAACATAAATCTAATTTCTGTACTGTTGGCAACTACTCCAAGATTTTAAAACACTGTTCGAGGGATCCCTGGGTGGCGCAGCGGTTTGGTGCCTGCCTTTGGCCCGGGGCGTGATCCTGGAGACCCGGGATCGAATCCCACGTCGGGCTCCCGGTGCATGGAGCCTGCTTCTCCCTCTGCCTGTGTCTCTGCGCCTCTCTCTCTCTCTCTCTCTCTCTGTGACTATCATAAATAAATAAATTTAAAAAAAAAATTAAAAAAAAAAATAAATAAAACACTGTTCGAGCTAAGCAGAACATATTCGCATGACAGGTTTAGGCCAAGGGCCTCCAGTTTGCAGTATAACTGTTTTATGACTCAACATTTAGGTTCATTTCAGTTTTTGCTATTACAAACATTGCTGCAGTGGAAATGCCTAAATGAGGTTCATTACATACAAGTAGCTATGTTTTTCTAGAGCAGCTACATGGACTAGAATGCCTGGGCTAAAGAATATGTAGGCATTTTAATTTTAATAAATACTATTAAATTGCTCTTCAGCCACAAATGTCTGAGAGTGTCTGTCTCTCCAAACCCTTACCAACATTTAAAAGATGAGTTCCTTTAATATTTACCATTCTAATAGATGAAATGACATTTTATTTACTTGCTTAACAAACATTTTCTTAGGGATTCCTGTGTTCCAAGGTACTGTGCTAAGGACTTAAAAAAATTTAAGCATTTATAATTTAACCTTTATAGGAACTCAGTGAGATAAGGAGTATTATTATGCCACTTTTACAGATGAGGAAACAGAGGCACAGAAAAGTTAAATTTTCTTAGGGAACTGGAAAGTATTAGAGCCACAACTCAAACTCAGACCATTGGGCTAAGAATCAGTTGGTGTTCTCAATTACTGTGCTGGGCTATCTTAATTACCACTGTCCAGTTTCTAGTGATGAATAGCTTATGTATTTGTTAGCCAATAATCTTTCCTCTATTGTGAATTGCTTAAATTATCCTTTGCCATTTTTATTTGAGTTGTTTATGATTTTCTTGTTGCTTGGTAATACTTGTTTATGTATTTTATGTATTTCTTAAAGTACAGGCTAGTTGCTGCTTTTGGTTTAGGGAAACACACACACACACACGCACACACATACGCACACATGCACACACAAAGCAAACTCCAAGACAAGGATTGGATATGAGTGGTTTGTTTTTGGAGACATCCCCAAGAAATATGTTGAGAGATTGGTGAGAAAAGAGTAGAAAGCCAAGAAAGCAGATGTTGATGAGTAGAGGTGGGCATCTGGGGCTCAAGTCCCACCAGGGATCCTCTAAGAGACTCCATAGGCTGTGCCTCAGAATTATTACAATGAGGGACAAAGCAGCAGGGGTCTTCACCCAACCACTCCTGGGGCAGTGATTCCCTAGTCTTTCTGGCCTGCCAGAAAAGGCCAACGCAGCCCCTAGCAGAGTACCCTCTCGGGCAGAGACTCAGAAAACCATCAACGTACAGGAACCATCTGCAGGTGGCCTCTATGTGGGCTGTGGGAATATAGGCGGCACACCTACCATGTCTGTATGCTGTTGTAATAGAGAGACTCCCAAAAATAATGGCTTAGATAGGAAAGATGTCTATAATCCAGAGGTAGGTGGCAGTCCAGCAGCAGTAGGCAGTTCTGTTTCAGGAGATCCACAAGATCACACAAAGACCCAGATTCTTTCTATCCTGTTCTCCACCACTAGGCACAGATTCCCAAACTTTTTCTGTACATAGCACCCTTAAGTGCCTTATAAATTTTTCCACAGTGGCACCTGGATGGCTTTGTCAGTTAAGAATTTGGCTCAGTTCATGATCCCAGGGTCTTGGGATTGAGCCCCACATTGGGCTCCCTGCTCAGTGGGGAGCCTGTTTCTCTCTCTCTTCCTTGCTTGTGCTCTCTCTCAAATAAATAAATAAATAACATCTTTATTTTAAAATATTTTTTCCACAAAGCTCCTCAGCCAAAAGAAATATCCAACAGTCCCATATATTAAATGATGAGCTCTAAACAACTTAATAAATATTTATGTTTTTTTAAAAAGATTTTATTTTTTTTAATTTTTATTTATTTATGATAGAGAGAGAGAGAGAGAGAGAAAGAGGCAGAGACACAGGCAGAGGAAGAAACAGGCTCCATGCACCGGGAGCCTGACGTGGGATTCGATCCCGGGTCTCCAGGATCGCGCCCTGGGCCAAAGGCAGGCGCCAAACCGCTGCGCCACCCAGGGATCCCAGATTTTATTTATTTATTAATGAAAGACACACAGAAAGAAAGGCAGAGATGTAGGCAGAGGAGAAGCAGGCTCCAGGCAGGG